TTAAGCCTGGTCTTTTGTGCCAGCAGTGGCTTTGCCTTGTTAGACTATTGCAACCAGCTCCTGCCCACTCTGGCTTGGGAGATGGTGCAGGCAGGGTGCACAGCCTTCACAGAAAGGCAGGGACAGATGGGGACTCAGAAATGCTCCTGCTGCATCTTTACTCCTTGCCCGCTGCAGGTATTCAGCCGAGAGGAGCTGGAGCTCATTGCAGACCTGTGTGTGAAGCACGATGTCCTGTGCATCAGCGACGAAGTGTATGAGTGGCTGGTCTATGACGGGAAGGAGCTCGTCCGCATCGGTACGTAGAGTGGCTTGGCTGAGCCTGGGTGTCTTCACTGGGTACAGCATCGTCAGGGAAGGAACTGGTGATTTAACTGAGGTCTCCTGGCAATTACATGGGCTGCTCACATGCACAGCTCTGCCAGACACATCCCCATTAAAGTTATCTTGCTGCACTTCAGTCTCAGACTCTAAATCAGGACTTAAACTGGAGCCCTGACTTCCAGAGCCAGCCAGAAGAAATGGAGAGCTGGCTTCACAGCATAAGATCCAGAGCAGAGAGGCCTCTGACTCCAGTGAAACTGATTTTTTTTTTCCCTGTACTTTGTAAAGCCACAGTTTTCTGGGTGTCTTTAGCTTTGGGACATCCATTTCGACAGGAGTTCACAGACCTGTTTGTCCTGTTGCAGTAACATGCAATCACCTTGTTGAAGGGTGAAGGTGCTTGGCACCTCTGGGTACCCTTGGGGCTGGGTACATGCGTATGAAAACACTTAATTACAAAGAGAAGCTCTTGAGAAACCTGCCTGCTTGCTTGGGATGTGCTTTGAGGCTCCTGTAGATGAAGGATGTGCTGTGAACACAAAAGGCCACCATGGGTTATGGTGTGCAAAGAGCTCCCACCATGTTGTTAATGCAACCCAGACGCAAGCACGCTGAGCTCTGCCATCAGTGTTTCTCTCTTGTTTCCTTGTCAGCCAGCTTGCGAGGGATGTGGGACCGCACAGTGATCGTCGGGAGTGCTGGGAAAACCTTCAGTGCCACTGGATGGAAGGTGAACTCCCCTGTGTGGCATCTCATGTTCTCTATCCCTGTCCCTTTGCTCCAGGGCAGGGGTCCCATTGCCATAGTGTGGCACTGAGGACACTGCTGCCACACACTTGGCTTTGAACCTCAGGCTCTGAACGTACCAAAGCTGTGATTTCTAGGGGTTTTTTCCTCTATTTGAAAAATAAAGGGGAGTCTAAGCAGGTACCAATAAACTTACCACCTTCCTCCTCCTCTCCTGACCACAGGTGGGCTGGACAGTAGGACCCAACCGGCTGCTGCAGCACCTCCGTATCGTGCACCAGAACTCAGTGTACCACTGTGCCACAGTTGCCCAGGTAAGACAGCTGTAACTAGCCTTGCAATTCCCAAACCTCCAAAGTAGGGCAGAGAGAGGGTCCTCCTGCCCATGGCTGACCTGAAAGGCACAGAGAGGTGATGCGTGATGCCCTGGAGAGGCTTCTTCCCCTCTCCCTGCAGTCGCTCCATGCCTGGGAAGAAGAGGAAAGCCCAGCCTGCCTGGGGTGTATTCCCAGATTTGCATTGACAAATCCAAGGGGCCAGCTGGAACAGGCTGCCCAGGGAGGTGGTGGAGTCACCATCCCTGGATATATTTAAAGAGCGGGCAGACGAGGTACTTAGGGATATGGTTTAGGGGGTAGACAGGAGCAGTTGGACGTGATGATCTCGGAGGTCTTTTCCAACCAAGCGATTCTGTGATTCTGTGATTTGGAGGGGCTGAAGGCAGAGAATTTGACTTGATTAAATGAGAAATTACCCCTGCTCCCTATTCACCTGTGAATTGCATCAGAGCAGACTCCAGTTCTCAAGCAAGCCTTGACCATCTTCCCTCTGGGTTCCTCTCTCCATGCAGGAGGCTGTGGCTCAGGGTTTCCAGAGGGAGCTTGAGCTCTTTGGAAAACCGGAAAGCTACTTTGTCCAACTGCCCAAGGAGCTGCAGCAGAAGAGAGACTGGCTGGTCCAGAGCCTGAATGCTGTGGGGATGAAGCCCATCATCCCCGAGGGCACCTACTTCTTGGTGGCAGACATCTCCGAGTTCAGTGAGTCAGCTGCGGCTTTGCTCAAGCAGGGCTTGAGTATGGGGGGCAGCTCAGAGTGGTACCACTGAGCAGGGACAGGAACCTGCACGAACCACCACCAAAGCAGGGACGGACAACAGCACATTCCCCATCCAAGCTCCCAGAGGCTGTGGGTTTGGGGCTTGGCTGAGGCACCCAGCAGCCCCAGCCTCCACACTGCTGTGCTTCTCCTCCAGAATCCGATGTCCCTGATGTCCCTGACTCCGATGAGCCCTACGACTCCAGATTTGCAAAGTGGATGGTCAAGAACAAGGTAAATGTGTCTGGCATTTGCCCCAGGTGGGTTTGTGCCCTCCCTGCTGCCAGCAGCACACCACCACTGCCGGGTCTGGCGGCTCATTTAGGGGGTGCCTGCGGTGTTTGTCATTAGCTGGCCTTAACTCTGGCAGTCTGAGCTCAAGCAGAGCGAGCAGACAGGGCACCAGGGGCATCTACAAGCCCATCCTTGAGACCTGCATGCAGTAAGTGGATGGCTCCACACCAGCCCAGAAACAGTAACCTCAGCTCCACGTGTTTTTCCCTTCCCAGGGACTTGCTGCCATCCCACTCTCTGCTTTCTACTGTGAGGCCCACAAGAACAACTACAACGATTTCATCCGGTTCTGCTTCGCAAAGGTGAGATATGTGGCAGCATGAAGGAAGGTGAGGTTGGGAGTAATAATTGGGGCTGGTTTAATGAGATAAATGCCAAGAAGAAATGCAGAGCACCTTGGGCATTAGAGCCTGAACATGGCATCACAGCTGGTCCAAATCCCCTCCTGCAGACACATGAGCTGAGCTGGGGGCAGGAGGTGTGCCAGTGCCACCCTAAGCTTTGCCCCATCAGCATCCTACATTTCTTGGTCAAGGCAGGGAGTCTTCTGGGTGCACAACCCAGTGGCTGTGCCTGCCCCAGAGATGGCTGTGCCTGTGTTGTACCGAACATGGGGCATTTGCAATGTTTCAGAATGAGAACAGAATTTTTATATGAATGATAACTGCAGTGAGGGGAAAGGGCATTTGGCTGGAAGCAACTGACTGTACCTGTGGTATTTCACAGAAATCACAGAGTCACAGAATATTAGGAGTTGGAAGGTACCTGGAAAGCTCATCCAGTCCAACCCCTGCCAGAGCAGGATCACCCAGACCAGGTCACACAGTAACATGTCCAGGCAGGTTTTGAATGTCTGCAGAGAAGGAGACTCCACAACCTCTCTGGGCAGCCTGTTCAGTGCTCCGTAAACCTTACAGTAAAAAAGTTTTTCCTCATGTTCAGGTTGAACCTCCTATGCTCCAGCTTGCACCCATTGCCCCTTGTCCTGGCATTGGACATCAGAGAGCAGAGCCTGGCTCTTTCCTCCTGACACTCGCCCTTTACAAATCTATAAACATTAATGAGGTCACCCCTCAGTCTCCTCTGCTCCAAGCTAAAGAGACCCAGCTCCCTCAGCCGCTCCTCAGAAGGGAGATGCTCCACTCCCTCCATCATCTTTGTGGCCCTGCACTGGACTCTTTCAATTTGTATTGAATTTCTGTTTGTTTAGGAGGAAGCTACACTGAAGGCAGCAAATGACATACTGCAAAAATGGAAACAGGAGAAAACCAGTCCCTGAGCACACTGGAGAGAGAACCATGCTCTCCTCGGTCCTCACCTGCCCTGACCGTTCTTCCTCTTCCTTTGATTGGCTCCAAAATTTGATACATGCTTATTTTTGTGTTTTCAACCTCATTTTATGTCAGACAAATGATTAAGAAGTTCGCCAGGCAGGGTCTCGGGGACACTTTCTGTCACTGTGAAATTATTACACTGTTCCTTGCAAAAAGTGAACTGTCGTGTGCACTACCAGTATTCAACATTTCTTCCTTTTATGTTTAAAGACTTTACTAATCAGTTCTGGGGTGCACGAGCAAGACACAAGGTAAGGATGGCTCCTGAGGTCTTTCCCACCACCAAATTCTGAAAAAGTGTTTCAGGACCTACCTTTACGGCTGTGCTGGGGGGCTACAGTGGCTTGTCTTGCTCCACATCCCCACTGACACCCCAGGGCGCAGGACAGCATTTCCACCAGCACCCATGTAGTGTTACCACGCAGCTGTGCCCAGCAGTAGGTTGATTCCTATGATCCTGAAAATTACACAACCAGTGAAACGCTGTTTCCCATAATTCAAAACTTTTCCTTTTTATTTTTTTTTTCTATACATCTCTGGGGAAGACAGAATCATAACTGGGTCCCCTCAGGAAAGAGGCTTTCATAAACAGCCCGGCTATTGCCAAACCTTCCCTGTGCACCCCCAAACTGCCCCTGGTGTTTTATCAGGGCTCAGCAGCATTGCCTAGGCTGCAAAGCAAAACCTTCAAACCTTTGACGAGTGCACACAAGCAGCTGGGGAGAAAGGGCCCAGCAGCCTTGGACTGTTCCTGCTGCTGGTGTCCTCCACAACCTCCCACCTGCTGGGGTGGTGGGGTAACGTGAGCAGCATTTTGAAAGGTAATTCTTGCGTCATTCTTGATTTCAACCCGGATAAGAATGGACACCAGCATCATCAAGCACGCAGAAGTTATGTGCAACAGACTGTGCAATAAATATTTGTGGCAGTTAAATTATTAAAGATTAATTACTGCAATTATTGAAGAGTACATGTCTGTAATGATTACAAGGCTGACGTAGCCCTCCTGGAGGGATGGTGTGACCTCTGCAACATCTGCGTTGTGTCCCAGTGGTGGCTGCTCATCCCACCCAGGCTGGTGAGTCGCAGCTCCGAAGGTTTTCTGTGTCAGGCTGCAGCTGATGGTACCAACCCCCTTGGAGCAAGAGCTGCACTGACCCACGGGAGGGAGAGAGGGAGGCAAATCCCCACATCCTGCCTTCGCCCATGGGATTGCACCTGCCTGCACAGCCCGGGTGGACAAGGGTGCTGCTGGAGGAACATGTGCCAAATGCTGGGAGAGCTGCAACCACTGAAACAGGTAAACAGCTGTAAGATTATATTACTGGTATAAAGATTAATTGTAGCTTCACCACACATCCAGACTCTTGCTCTAGCCCATGAGACACCCCTCAAGGGGCAGGGTACCTCTTCCCAGCTTCCACCACACAGGCAGTGCTTGCGCAAAGCCACCCAGACGCGGGTGTCAGGGCTTTACCTCACCACCGCAGCCTCCCAAGGACTCTCCCGGGTCTCCCATTCAGTGCTGACCGACACAGACCCTGCTGAGCTTGACTTCCCGCGCGGGCGACTTAAACCCTACCCCTGCTCCCGCCCCCTGCCTAGCCATTGGCTCACGTGACGCCGGCCTCCTCCCCTTCCGACCAATCACACCGCGGAGGGGCGTGGCCTGGGAGTGTGGGCAGAAGATGGCGGACGACAGCGCGGCGAAGCGGCCCAGTGGGGTGCAGGGGGGATGTGGGGGCACGGCGGGGGCC